CTATCACTTTTGGTATAAGAAAAAATAATTTGTAATGAAATTAGTTAAATTAGTCTTTTATGAAATTAAAAAAAAAATATTTAAAGGAGTTATTTTGTAGTTAACATTTTTCCTACCAAAAAGAGGGATAAATAGATTCAATTTTCACAAACAAACAAACCGGAGCAAGACTGTTGTGATTTCCTTGGTGAGCTTCAGCCAAGAAACAAAGAGAAAATAAGAAAAGGAGAGAAAACTTTGTCTCCTCTGATACGAATCCTAGAGCCTCCCACTTACAGCAAAACAGACCCGACAAAAACCATCCACAATTACTTCAATGGGAGAAAAGGGTCGGGGCTTTCAGGTGGATCCGAATTTGCCCAGATATGTCTGCCAGAACTGCCGCAACTCTCTCTGCATCGTCGGCGCCGATTCCTATGCCGAAAAGTTCTTCAACGATTTCTCTCGCTCCGGTTAGTTTTTTCTTTTAATCCCTTTCTTATTTGTATTTACCATTTATGAGTGCATTTATGCGCGCAAATTTGAGTTTTGGGCATCGAATTATTGAATCCCATTTGGTTTCTGGAGGTTTGTGGGAGGTTTCAATTGGAGTTTCAATGGGTGAGACTGTAAATGATTTTCATCGAGGGCAAATGTTGAATTGAAATGGATTGACCCTGGAAAGTATTAAACTAATTTCGTTATCGAGAAAATGGCTTCGATTTTGATTTAGTGAGTTAAATTGTTGCTCTTTTGAACTTTTATTGCGGCTAAAACACCTTAAGTTTGCTGCTTTTGGCGTTATGTTTTTCTTAATTTCTTGATCAAAGTGTTTAAGCTAGAAATGGGTCTTATAGCTAGCTGACCCTTGTGAATATGCAATTCATTAAGTATGAAACTCTTCGTTTGTGGAACCATTGCTAGAATGGGAGCTGTGTTGGACTTTTGAATCCAAATGAGTGGATTATTTGACCAGAATCGTATGATGCTTACCAAATATAAGATTTCTTGTGTTGGCTATTTTCAGTGGAAATTTGAGTTTGTAATTTTATGGGGGGTTAAGGGTTTTGTTGATGGCCAAGTGCAGTGATGTGTGGAGAAAGGATTGCTTTCTTAATCAGTAAGCGGTTTGGTGATGAATATATGCAGGCATGCAGGGCTCTTCAATGCATGGGGCAAACAGTGTGTTATCAACACGGATGGACAATTCTTTTGTTGTGTTACAAAAGCAAAGACCCCAGGCACAAGGAGTCCCTCCTCGTCCCCGTGTTGGAGCCGCCCAAACAAGCCAGTCTGGAAAGGCAATGGATGAGTCCTTTGTGGTTGTTTATAAATCTGAGTCATCAGCAGATGGTGGTGGGGCCCAGTTGCCGTCACCTGATGGAGGACCCAATGGTCCTTTGCAGCCTAACAATTCTGGGTTTCACTCTACTATAACTCTCCTGAAACGGGCATTTGAAATTGCCACCACCCAAACACAAGTATGTATAATAGTGCAAAAGAACTTAAATGGAATTTTACAGTTTCCTTTTGATAGCGTCTACTATGTTGGTGCCAGAAATTGTTTTTTAAAAAAGAAGTTATAATCTCTATGTTTCTGCTAACATTTCCAGGTCGAGCAACCTTTATGTCTTGAATGCATGAGGGTAGTGTCTGATAAACTTGACAAGGAGGTTGAAGATGTGAATAGGGACATTAAAGCCTATGAAGCCTGTCTTAAACGCTTGGAGGGAGAGACAAGGGATGTTCTTAGTGAGGCTGATTTTCTCAAGGAAAAACTAAAGGTGCTTACTTAAAATGTTGTCCATGCATAAATCACTGTGTGATCTATATTTGGAGAGTGAAATAAGTTTTTATTATTATTTATTATTATAGCAAATATGCCTTTATTCAGGGGAATGGTGAATTTAGAGATTGCATGACCAGCATGGATGCGTTTGTACTAATTAATATCAAATACATCTGAGCTCTCATCCTAAGAAACCTTCAAAAATGCGTTTTATTTTATATCAGCATATTTAGTATCATAGTTTTTCAAAGTGAGGTCTAAATGCTCACTCTTCCTCTCTGGATGCTATTTAAGATTGAGGAAGAAGAGAGAAAACTTGAAGCAGCAATTGAAGAAATGGAGAAACAGAATGCGGAAGTAAATAATGAGCTGAAGGAACTTGAGTTAAAATCTTGCAGATTTAAGGAATTGGAGGAGCGGTATGTTCCTTTTCCTAATGTTGTTTGTTGATTTTTGTTGGTTTACTTCCTGATAAAATATCAAGTGTTCTTCACTATGTATCAGATTTCATCTTGTGTACTCACCCTTTGACATAAACCTGGGAAATCCTGATTGTTTATTTTGCTTAACGTGTAACAGGTACTGGCATGAGTTCAATAATTTTCAGTTTCAATTAATTTCGAATCAGGTGTGTTGCTGATCTTCTTCTCTTCTTCTGCTTCTCTAGCAGTTGCATTGCAATCTTCTAGGCAGTACATTTGTCCTATATGTTCTGAATTTATGTTGATATTCTGGCAGTTGTTTGGTGTAGTCTAAAGTGGTTTCAAAAGTTTCTTTGGCACTGAATTATTATTATCTAATGGTTGTCTTCACAATGTGGTTTCTGGTAATTCTATATCTGTTTGTCAGCAATTAGTTTTTTTGTTGTCCTCATCAAAAAAGAGTTGCGTACATTGTCTTTGAGTCTGAGAAAAATCTTTCCCATCCTTTTTTAGTATTCCTTTTATGTCCTGTTAGTACTTTGAGTCCAAGAAAAATCTTTTTGGTTAACAGGAAGAGAGAGATGCAATTTTGTCCAAGATAGAAGTTTCACAGGCGCACTTGGAGTTGTTGAAACGAACTAATGTGCTCAATGATGCCTTTCCTATCTGGCATGATGGAGAATTTGGTACCATCAACAATTTTCGACTTGGACGACTTCCAAAAATTCCGGTCAGAAAACTAAGAATGCATTTTCCTTCTCCTTTGAGAATTGTCTTAGCACCAATAAATTGAATCTTTCCTTCTACCGTTGAGGGACAGAAAATAGGGTCTGATATTGATGTTTACCATGCTGTGAATACAATTAGGTTGAGTGGGATGAGATAAATGCTGCCTGGGGCCAAGCCTGCCTTCTCCTCCATACCATGTGTCAATATTTCCGTCCAAGATTTCAGTATCCTTTTTACAAGACAGAAGAATTTTTCATTTTAAGTTGTTGTAAATAATTTCTTAGTTATATTGTGTTGAAATGGCCTTAGTTCATTACCTTCTAGATATCGAATAAAAATACTTCCTATGGGCAGCTACCCTCGGATTATGGACAACAACAACACTTATGAGCTGTAAGTATAGACTATGCCTTTAATTTTATTCACTATTTAATTGTTTTTTGACATCTAATTTCAGTATTGTAAAGTTCAAATTTAGTAGATCCCCCTTTAGCAGTACATCGTGCATGAAGTGGAGATTACCCAAATGTTGAGTGGCTAGGATAGATGATTATAAATTATAACAAATATTTATATATGTTTCTTATGTACAAATAAAGATGTCTATGGATTTGGTTTGGGGTTGGAGTTGGGGGAGAGATCTCTGAAATTACCTGTATTTCACAATTCGGGTTTTACTTTCTTTTTTTCCAACATTTTGTTGGATGTTTTAATTAACTTGAGTATTTATTAGGTTTGGTCCCGTGAACTTGTTTTGGAGCACTCGGTATGACAAAGCAATGACATTGTTCTTGACATGCCTTAAAGACTTTGCTGAGTTTGCAAATTCCAAGGATCAAGAAAACAACATACCACCTGAAAAATGCTTTAAATTGCCATACAAGTAAGTTTTTGCAGTCTACAACAATAGTATGTTATATCATGTTCAAAGCATTTGCTGCCTCTCCTTGGTATTCATTTTTCATAGATGATACAATATTTGCATTAATGAGCACCGTAGTTTATCTTGTTTACCCTTTCAATTGTTTTAACACACATGAGAAGCATGCAACATAGACATAAGTCTTCATGGTTTGACAAACTTTATTCTGCATGGTTATCCATGTACTTAACGAATGTCGTGTATAATTTTACTTTCTCTAGATACCTTTTAATTGTCTTGGGCTTTTTTTTTGGCAGGATTGAGAATGACAAAGTGGAAAGCTATTCTATCACTCAAAGCTTCAATAAGCAGGAGAATTGGACTAAAGCTCTAAAGTACACCCTCTGCAATTTGAAATGGGCTCTGTATTGGTTTGTTGGGAATACGAACTTCCAGCCTCTTTCTGCAGTGTCTTCACATGCTGAAGTTCCAGGCGTCGGCTCATTGTACACAAGACGTGCTACTGACTCCAAGTCTGAGTTCCGAAACTCATCTAATCCATGACACAGATTGAATACGCAGCATACATGTATATAGAAACACGTAGTTTAGTCTTGTGCAGTTAGTAGCATTATTTACAGTGTATTGTAGTAGTACCGTATTGAAAGACTCAAAATATTAAAACTAAAGATTGCAGTTTTTCTTTTTCTTGTATACTTGTTGAACATCAGATTCTTAAGAAAAGAAAAATTGTATGAAAGAGGATGACTCACACAAGCTGTTTTAAGCGTTGTCTGAATTTCAGGTTCTTATGAGTAATGTGTCTGGCTAAGAAATATTAAACCCAAAGGGAACTTCTTAGTGTGCCCTAATTAAGTTGTTCACGTAATCCCAACATGAGAAGTCCTATTCTGTCTTCATGGAAACAGAAACCGATCACTGGCATGAAACTTGCATGAGCATAATTACAGCTTTGGGGCTTGAAAACTGAAAAACCTGCACTCAAGCATTTATATATGTACCCTGCAGTCTTGCAAAGACCTCAAACTTGGGAATTAAACACTTGCCCCCAAGTGATCTTAAAATTTAGGAGCAACAATGACTCGCCTCATTGGATTCCTAGCCGTCCTCTTGTTCCTTTAAAGTGCTGCAAATTCGGCGCCTTCATGCCCTACCGTAACCCAGCAAGTGGCCCCGTGTCTCAGTTTTGTGAAAGGTGGAAGCGACACCAAGCCATCTGAGGAGTGTTGCAAAGGGGTTAAGGAGCTGAGTGTCAATGCTAATTCCAGACCAGACAGGGAAGCTGTGTGCAAGTGCCTTAAGCAAATGTTGTCTTCCGTTGGAAACTATAATCCCTCTCAAGTCTCTCTTCTTCCCAAGAAATGTGGCCTGTCCCTCAATCTCCCTCCAATTGATAAAAACACTGACTGCTCAAAGTAATACATACACACTCCAAAAATGCTAAGTCACCTGAATTTTTTGACCACATTAGCTCATGACTTAGTAGTTGGTGCTTACTCATTACATCAATTATCACGATCAACAGTTAATTAACACATCAACTGTCATATAATATGATCAGAAAATAAATATGGTTCATGTAGCATTACTTTACACACTTCTCTTTTTCAAGGTGCTGACCATCGTTTTTTTGCCATGCAGGGTTGGAATGTTTTATCATGGAGAGTGATTTTGTTCATTCCAGCTGGGTTTGCCATTGCCATAGCAAGAGATTTATTTATAATTAATATGACAAGTATAAAATAAATTGTACACACATAATTATATTATCAGAGCCATTAGTGAACAATATAATACCACTGAGAACAATCTAGTAATTATGGAATTATATATAATCCTTGTTTTATTTTCCTTTCAAATTGTTAAAAATTTTGCTTTCAAAGCAATCCTCTACATCTGGTAGTACACTGGGACTTGCTACGCATAAATACGACATAACGTTTACAAGCGCTTAAATTTTAACGACATGCAGTATAAATCACGTTGTTTCTCTCTTCTTCTTTTTTTCAATTTTTTTTTTTTTATCATACCTACTGTGTTCGAAATTTATGAAAATGAAGCGTTCTGCTGCTAATGAAGTTTCTGTCTCTTCGCGTCCAGAAGAGAACTAAGAAAAGTCAGAAAGGTAATTAATTCCAATGGTTCTCTTTCTGTTTGGTTAATTTCTGTTTGGCTCTTAAGAAAATACAGTGCAACGACGTAAACTTTTATAATTTGTTGGTGGTAACTCATCATGTAAAGCCCATCTGGGTTCTTCAAAGTTAAGCCCCAACCAAATGTTTGATAGTTTAATTCACAACTTTGAGCACTCTGTTTTGGGTTCTTTTCATTGGGTGCTTAGCTAATTATATATATGGAACTTTAACTTAGTTCAATCCTGAAAGTCCTTGATCCTAACATATCAAACTTTTCTGTGGAATCCATGAAAATGCGTTGTGAGAGGTTCTTTGAGTTGATTGAGAAAAAAAAGTGAGAAATTGGAAAAGAGTACGACTTTTGGATCCTACTAGATTTCAGCAGTGAAGACCAAGAAATATTACTGAAGAAAGTACAACTCAGTACAAGTCCAAACAACTTGAAATTTGGGGTTGCAATATTTCTTTCTTTTCTCCTTTGTGTTACATTTCTTGTAAGCCAAGTGGGTATGAATATAACACCTCAAAGTAGAAAGTGTTATGATCGTGTTGTCTTGCTTTTTTCTTGTTCTATATTGCATATGTAATCTCTTTATAATGTTTAGATATCTGCTTCTTTTAGCAGAAGTTAGCTAGCAGAAATGGCTTGTAGACGTAGTGTCTCCACCACAGTGACCTTTGGTACCAGACGTTTCCACCCTTCATTTAGTCACATTCTTCATGATAACAATGAGGATACTAAATCACATGCACCGAATTCAAGTTTGCCTCCACCTGTGATCAAGAGTACTTTGCCACGTGGCTCTTACAACTCGACACTTGGATTTTGTTTTGGTTCTCTATGTAGAGAGAGGACAGGCTCATCATTGTCTTGGAAAATGGGGCTTGGCTCCTTTCATTGTAGGTATATGTCAGCCATAATCGATGATGGGTCTGATAAGATTAATGACGTTGGCTATTTTGCTGAGGTTATTACGGATAAGACGGTGGAAGTGGTAACGTCCCAAGCCCCCGCTGTGAGTGAAGTGGCTGCTGCTGCAGCAGATTCTTTCTTCCCAGTTGCTGCCCTGCAGTATTTGATCGATGGCGTGCATTCTTTTACTGGATGTAATTGGTAAATGAAATGATTTTAGGGAGAATTCTCTTACTTTTTGACAATCTTGTTTATTTTTCCTTTTTTATATGATTTTAATATTTTTTGGTAAGTTGAAGGAAAGTTAATAGTGAAACAATTATGTAATGCTGCTTAAGTAGAAGTACAGAGCTTATGGTTACAAATTTTATCTTAAAGCTATTTTGGTTTCTCCTTGAAAGTGATTAATTGTTTTTCCAGGTGGGCCTCAATAGCTTTAACAACTATTCTGATTCGAGGGGCTACAATTCCACTTCTCATTAATCAACTCAGGGCTACTACACAACTTAATGTTAGTTTTCATTCCCTTAAGCTCAATGGATTTGTGTGTGTGCACATGTGAATCTGTTATTGAAAACTATAAATTATCAATTAATTTCCTGGATGTGTCAGTTTAAAGTTTGATGAACATCAAAGGTTGTATTAGATACTCCAGAAAGATTTCTTGCAGTTGGAATCACTATATTTTTAATGACCATAACTGTGATAACGAGCCCTTGTCCAGAGGTTGTATGTTTCCTGGGTTCTCTCTCTCTCTCTCTCTCTCTCTCTCTCTCTCTCGGGGTGGATACTCTATTTCAGCTGTTTAATAACCTGATTCTATGATCGTTTGTTAATCCTTTTGACTATATGAAAGAAACACCATTCCTTGATTGTTTGTGCAAGCGGTACTCTTTTAAATGTGATGGTGGCATGATTCATATATTTTCATGAGTTGAATGATGCTTTGAATCACTTATAGGACAACCCCCAGCCATTTGGGGGTTGGGGGGAGAGGGGTTAGGGGCAGGTAGTATGTTTCAATACATTTGTGAATATTGATGTAATTTTACTATTTTTGATGTTTTTTATTCAGTTTCTTACATTGTTTAGAAGAAGAAAGCATTCAATTAGTATCTGACTCTGTTTATTTTAATTTTTTCTATTGCGATACAGTTAATGAGGCCCCATTTAGAGGAGTTAAAACAACAGATGCAAGATATGGTATGAATTTCTTTCTTCTTCTTTTTTTTCTTTTCTTTTGTTTGGGGTGGGGGCAGTAGCCGGGGGGGAATCATGATAATCTAGTATGCTGAGATACTCATCAAAATCCACCATGGTCTCTTTGCTTCTTTTGGCCAGCATCTTATATTGTCTATCTCAGAATCAACTTTAATTTCCTCATATGATATGGTGTGCATCATAAAGTTTTCAGAAAGCTTCATTTTCTTCATTTTGATACAATATATTTGTTAGGCAATGGATCCGAATGTTTTGCAAGAAGGTCAGAAACGAATGAAGGCATTGTTCAAGGAGTAAGTAATTTTTCAGTCTGATGGAATCACATCTGATGATTAGCTATTTTCCTTTTATAGATGTAATCTTGTCAGATACATACATTCTTTCTTCCACTGTGATACATAAATGTGTTTCTATGAAGATAACCAATTAAAAAGTTAAGACGACTTTTTTTTTTTTTTTTTTTTTTCAAATTGCAAAAAAGTTCTTAGTAATGGTTGGTTTGCCAACAAAATGAAAGTAAGATAGAAAAAAGAGGACTACGATTTGATTTAATTAAAATAATGACAATTAGAAGGGACCTAAATCTAAAGCCAGAAAGTCTACTTCCTGAATTTTCCTGTGGTAGCTGTCTCACATGAGGGTTCGACAACCGTTTTGCCTGTACATTTAGTGTAGTTGAATTCTCACTGTTTGCAGATTAAAGGAGTACACACACATTGTATCCTTTTATTTTTTCTATTTCTTTGTCATTGTTTCTCATGCAGCCATCTTATATGTGCATGTGCATGCATTTAACGCTTTGAAACTGCACGGTTTTTGCAGATATGGAGTCAATCCACTTTCTCAATTGCAACCGCTATTCATTCAAGGTCCCATCTTCATCAGTTTTTTCTTAGCTGTAAGATATGAGAGCCCCTCAGTTTTGTAGTATCTTGTTGAAACTATTCATTTGATATTTGATTATTTTCATGACTTTCCAAATTTCAAGTTGTGTTTCATTTTCTGACTCTTGTAAATGCAGGTTAGAAACATGGCTGAGAAGGTTCCTTCTTTTCAAAGTGGTGGAGCTCTTTGGTTTACTGATCTCACTACTCCAGATAGCTTGCTCATCCTTCCAGTTCTGACATCGTTGACATTCTTGATTACAGTAGAGGTAGGATTTTTGTTACTTATTTAGCTTGCATATATGGTATTTAATTTCTCTTGGGTTTTTAATTAAGAGAGAGTTATTTTTTATTTATTTTTATTGATTGTGGGTGGATATTTCTATCAGATGCTTTTTACCTTGTTGTCTTATTGCTATGATGCTTTCCAAAGAGTGAGCAGTTATGTGATTTCTGCTGTTTCCTTAGTGCAACATGCAGGAGGGTCTTGAAGGGAATCCCATTGCCCAAACTATGAAAAACTATTCTAGAATCCTTGCGGCCATTTCAGTTCCTGTAATGATGAGTTTCCCCAAGGTTTGTGAATTTGCTGAATTTAATGTATGGGAGTAGGGTATGTCCAGGATCTTTTATATTGCTTTGTTGAATCCCATGTCTTTGCAGGCACTGTTCTGTTATTGGCTCACCTCCAACCTGTTCTCCCTTACATATGGATTAGGTGAGTCCTTCCTGCAAATCATGAACTTCTTTTTGTATGTAATGTTTTGTAACCCTACTTTGAATTCAAATGAGGGATTTGTTTGCTTTGATCAGATGCTTAAATGCAATTCAGTATATCATTAGAACTTTTGGTGGTTTTCCTTGGATCTAGTTGACAATGTTGCCCTTAAGAATCAAACCTGTGCACATGCAGATGACAGCCTGAGCCTTTTACCATTCACTAGAGTGACCCCTTAGGTTTTCTTTTTCTTCCTGTCAAGTAAGAAAGTTAAATTGAAAGTGCTAATGGGGTAATTTAGTACACAAGCCATATACATTGGACCCCTAATTGACAGCATAGTGTTTTATTATTAAACTGTGCCATCTCCTTTGCAAAATGGAAGTAGATGGGGATCAGGCAAAGTACAGGATGGGTGGCCTGAGCCCACATCGTCAGCACTAAAATCACCTTGCTTGGAATATGTTAGAAAGATTGTAACCTAACCCATTAGATGAACCATTTCCATTTTAACAAAATTTGGTGGTTCTAGTCAGCTCTGGAGCTTGTTTGAGCATATCTTGTTTCCCGCGTATTTACGCTGACGGACTGTATTGTATTCCTGCAGTAATTAGGCTCCCAGAGGTGAAGAGTTTCCTTGGTCTTCCTGAAATTCCTGTGCCACCTCCTGCTCCATCACAACCTCAATCTTTTTTGTCTTCAGCAATTGAACAGGACACTACCGTTGAATCAGGATCTCCGTTACCCACTAAGCCATCAAAGGTTACTGACAGAAGAATATCACGGACTTCAATTCTCAAGCAGAGACTTAAAAGTCTGGAAAATCAAATCAAGGAAAGAAATAAACAAAAGAAGATGTGAAAGTACTGCTCCAACTAAGTTTATGGTGCACCGGATGATGGAAAGTTTTTTGCTAGACGGCTATGAATCAGTTAACAGTGGAATCCCTTTTGGGAGAAGACACTCTGAGGTAGAAGTAAATTATGATCTGTTTTAAGCTTGATTTTATGCATCCTTTCCCTCGATGCTGTAGAGTACAACGATTCAACTATCTCACACAGAGTGAATCACACATGAGTTTTACAAGATTACAAGTCTTATGGGCAATTTTTGGAAATAAAAGTTGGAGAGCTCTATAAGGCGCGTATCTTTTATATACCTTTTGAGTTATATTAATGTTCTTTTATACACCTTTTGTGACTAGTAACAGCTAAAAATTATATTAGCAACCGAGAGGTTAATGTTAAGGCAGCTGAGCTTGCATCTTATCGAGTTGAATGACCGACTTAAGCAGCAAAGAGATGTTTTTGACTTGAAGGGAATGATTGGCAGAAAATTTCCGCTTTATTCCATGTTATAAAATAATATATTTTTTATACATAGAAAACTATCCGCTATGAATGTCATATCACACATGAAGGTTGGCTCATAAAACAAATGAACTCTCAATGGATCAAAAAGGAGAAATTGAGAAAAAAGCTAAGTTAGATACAGAGGGAGGGAAGTTACACCAAGTTACCAATATTTTAATACACAGAAACCTCCAAGGATAAACTTGTATCTGGAAAGCAAAACTTAGACGCTAATCACTTCATACCAATGTACTACTAGTCATGACGCTCTGCGGTAAAATCAGGCTCAGCGGGCTTCTGAGGCAGCAGTGGCAGCAATGTTGGTGAAGGTCTAGTGTTGCGCTTACCCTTTTGTCGCAAGTTTCGTACTGCATTGGCTGCAAACTTTGATGCATATACAGTGGCAAGTAGGCTTGGTGAGCTTCCAGCTTCTCTTGTCAAAGCATCTTGCAGCCTGTCTTCTGCTTCACGTAAAGACTTCTCAAGCTTTCTCTTGCAGTGCCTGCGCCAAGCTGCTTGTATGAAACAGGCTGACCATGTCCTCCACTGCAGGGAGTAAAACCTGAAAAGTAAACATTATGGCATGAGAAAACTACATACTGAAATCAAAAAAATCAAGAAGAATGGTAATCACATTCCAAATATAATGCTTTGCTTTTGCATAACATAGCATGCTTGTTCTGTTGCATATTTGAAGAGAAAGCAATGTTATGAGGTATTTTGCTTAAAAATCAAATGAAGGTGGAAATATGAATCTTTCTGTAACTTTTCTCCTTTTTTTGGGTTCATATTAGTTGTCCATGATGAAAAAGGAAAAAGCATGGTTATTTGAGCCTTGCCTGAAAGTGTGCTGGAGCTGCTTGCTGTGTAGGCGCCGAAACTGGGAGGCAACAAACTTCAAATCATCAGCCATGAGAGCAAAGGCTTCAACTTCTGTTTTAGCTTCCACTGTCCTAGTTGAGATGGGAAGATTGGTGGAGGAGTTTGGATCCAAGGCCCATGTAAGAAGCTCTTCTCCACAAAAGTCACCAGCCTTAAGATCAGCAGTGTTGAAGAAGCCAGTTCTTCCACCATTGGTAGTCATAGTTGCTAAATATCCACGCATGATAAATAGCATCTCATCAACTGGATCGCCTTCTCGAGTGATAACGCTCTTGTCTGTGTAAAGAACTGGCTTGAGACGATCACACAGGGCGTCCATCAATTGTTCATCCATTTTCTCAAACATTGGCACCTGAGTTAATAAAGTGTGCTGATGAACACAACTGCTAATAGTTGGAGAGAAAAGGATGCATAAATTATTAGTGAAAGCACTCACTCTATTGAGAAGAGCCAAGCAAAGATGGCGCTTTATGTCCTTCCGCAGGTCTTTGGGAAGGTTACGGACAAGAGTCTCTTCCTCAACACCTCTTGTTTCTTGCCATTTATACTGATCATAGTGTCTAATCCTTTCCCTCAATTTCTCGGGGAGCATTCGGTGTGACATCCACTGTTCTGCATCTCGCCTTTTCACTCTCATTTCTTCAACTCTCACAGTTGTGGACTGCAGAAATTTCTATAACATAACAAGAAACAAGGTTAGAATGTTAGGCTTTAGCTCATTCAATCCAAGAAGAAAGTACATCAACTAAGAACACTGCTAGCACTAAGAGATTTGATTTAAGACAGATATCGATGTGTTAATTTCATGTGCTCAATCCGTAGTCTAATTTTTGGCCAGGATGCTATGCATAAGAACAAAGCTGCGTACATCTTTAGTGTCATCCCATAATACTTACAACATATATTGGTTGTCAAGAAAATGACGGCATCAAATATTACCTGCATATTGCCAATGAGCAATGAAAATAGCACCAATCCAAAGATAGATATGAACACGGCAAAGACTATCTCCCAAACAAAAGTGCTTGTTTTGAGGTTTTGACCAAGAGAACTGCAAAACCGGTACAAGTTAAAAACGGCAACATGTATGTACATGAAACCTTAAGAAAATTTTAACTGCTAAACTCAGCATGCTAACTTATTAAGAATAAATATAAAAAGTTTATGATTACAAACCTAAGGTTGCGCAGACCCCACCAGAAGCAGTATAAAAATTTCTTTGGAAAATTATTGGTCTCTAGCACACCAGACTGCAGAGCATCAGTAAATATTCCAAAGTTGAACACCGTTGAATTTTTTATTTCATCAGGGTCAATAAAAGGGCAAGAAGCATTTAACTTCTTAATAAAGCTAGAGTTAGCTTTATTCTTAGGATCACAGTACAGGAATTTCTTACAATCAACATCCCCGTGACACTGAATACGCCAGCAACTATACTCTCGTTCCGCGGAGAACAAGTACCAAAAGGCTCCAACTACCTGGTATGACACAGTCCTTATCAGATCAGAAATCCCACATAATTTCTTGGAGATTGTTGAGGATTCAAAAACTATCAAATCAAAGACTTACGTGACTGGCTAGCATGTAGAGCAAAAGATTGTAAGCAGCTCCAGCCCATGCTGTTTCAGTCAGGAAGCCTGAAGTTCTTGTTACTTCTTTGTATAATGGATAGATCCGCCAAAGCCTTGGCCCATATTGGGCAACAATTACAAACAGCAACAAGTCCTTTGTGACTCGGGGAACTGGACGTGATATTGGGATTATAAAAAAAACAACAACCTGAACAAATTAAGCAGAACAAAATCGTCGGCATTGTGAATTATGGACATAAGCTACAACCAGAGATATGGTTAATAAAATCACTCTGTTCTAATAATAAAACCATGTAAAAACTTTAAAAACCTTTCAGATATTAAACAAAGAATTCAGTTTTCTGCAATTGATAATAATTGGACATTCTGGAAAAAGCCTGCAAATTCAACCTCCTGGCTATACACACAATTACACACATTGTTTCGAGGACATAAGATTAGGACCCCAACTTCTAGTTTGTTCCACTCAAGGTGGTGTTTTTTCTTTAGTTGTTTGGGTGTAAAAGAACCAAAGGAAAGGTATTGAAGTGGAATGCATATCACTAGAAAGCATATTCTGAGTTCTACTAAGGATACAAGGAGACAGGTTGGGAAGAAAGCCTATTCTTATTTTGTATTAGCATAAAACATGAATGCCATAATAGCGTATTTGATTGAAAGAACGTTTTCTGAGAATATTTTTATCAATATAACTCAAGCAAATAAAAAAAGGGGGAGTCTGACAAGCAAAAGAAAGGTTAAAAGAATGGTTTGCAATAAAAGGTTAGGGGAACATAATCTGAACCTTCCATAATGTCATGAACCTCAATCTTTCTTATGAAATAAAGTGAAGGGCAGCTACCTGTGGCAGAGGAAGAATAGCTAGAACGTCAATGATGAAGTATGAGGACAAGTATCTTTTTGCAATGGCCACGGGATCGTCAATTAGCTCACCCCTTCCGAATACTCGAGAAGAGGGGGCAATAAAACCAGTGCGAAATTGAAAGATGATATGAAGTATGTGAAAGACATCGGTGAAGGAACGAAGAACACAAGTAATGATCTGCAACCTTTTGTCCAAATCCACGCACTTAATTTTCCCATCGACCACTGCAGTATAAAGAAACAACGGGTCCAAGGACACAGCTATAACACAGGTGATCACAAATATCTTGTTCCAGTTCTGAAGAAATGACCCCTGAGGGTCAAGAATTTTCCTCCTAGAGCCTGACTCCCTTGCTGACCAGTTACCTACAGAAGTGGAACCTAGTGGTTTTTTCAAGCTTCTAATCCGATCAGAACCCCTCTCTAATCCTCGCCGGAGACCCCTAAGAACTGCATTCACAGATGGTCTAGCTCTTCTTGGATTTAGTCCATGACCAGTGGAAGCTTCATGCTCAGAGCTTACAGATCGATCCGAATGCCAATCTTCAAACCTGGATAAAACAACAAACGTAACACAAAGTGACATGAATTTGTAACATCACAGAGGTGCACAAACAATTGTATAAAATAAGATTAGATACAAAAAGTAACACCAACAACATTGGACTTTATTGGTACTCAAGACTTGAACAAACTAACCTTACAAACTTATGCCCCACGGAATTCATATTTTGGTATCCGGATTTGGTTCTTTTACTGCTTGAAAGAGCTGATATCCAGGCCCTGCAAGAACCCAACTCTTATATTGAAATTTTCTTCACTAGAAACTAGAAAAGGCACGCAATGATAGACTTAATCAGAAGAGCATTAGTGATTAAAACAACAGCTCTCAATGAAAGTTTCAATATGAAAAGCCAGTCAATGTTCCGATAGTTGAAACAAAATAATTATGCAGTGATCATATTCTTCTAGGGATAGTATTACTGTAAAATATCATTGTAAACGCATTGACTGAAAAGACTGAACCAAAGATAGAAAATTACCAAAATAGGAGAAAGACAATGATGAACATAGCAATTGAAAATAAGTTATAAATCATTCTAAATAGCATCAAACATGAAAATAGAAACAATCACCCCTTACACAAGTTAACTTTCTTTTTGGTTGCTGAGATAAACAAAAACTCAACAGTTATGTGCTTTATGTTGTACCTTATATTCCTACAGCATGAAAAGCTGAAAACCCACGTCTAAAAAAGCAAGACTGCTGCATCAAATCAAACCCAACTGGATGAAGTTTCTTTCATTTATCAGATTCTTGACTTTTTCTTTTCTTATCCCATCTTTTCTCAGGCCTCAAACAGAAACCCAAAACCAGAGAGAACCTGAAGAAATTAGAGCAACAACAAGATGAAGAGCTTGTAGAGAAATTTCGTTCTGACAATCAAGAGATGTTTC